CCCCCCAATGATAAATATTTAGCTTTCCACTCATCTAATCTCTGCCCTGCTCCACCCTATCAATAACAGGGCACCATATAGATGCTGGATTTGACTTGGAACCAATGGGGAAACACAAATGAGTAAATGGGAAGCTCCCCAACTCTACAATCAAAAGCTGCCACACACTCCAATAGCAGCTCATTTCTATCTTCACCAATTCCTGTCATAGTGCTTTGGGAAAAATAACTTTCAGAACTGTTAAATTTAATCCTCTCATCATTCTTCATTATTATTCACCATACCAAGTTTCAATCCAAAATTTCAACTAAAACCTTAATTTTCACAATTTTTAGGTTTTCTCTAATCTCATGAAGGAGGATTTCTTTACTTTATTCCTCATTGCCCTAGAATCTCTTCAAATCAATATTTTTTTGATCAGCAAAGAAGAATTTTATTTGATATTAGATTTAAAATTTTACAACTTTGTGTATGGGATTCGAACTCCCACACTAATACATATTTCTGTCCCTCTTTACATTGCAGCCCAAAACAATTGTTGCCTCAAAGCCCCTTGTTTAGCAAGATAATCAGCTAGCCCATTTGCACTCCTTCTAACCCAACTAAATTCAGCCTCTACCTCCCTTGCGACCTTTTCCACTTCCCTTATCACTTGTTTGAAAGTCCACGGAGTAGTTCTATTGTTTTTATCCCAAGAGATGATCACCTTGGAGTCCCCTTCAACCTCAATATGCCTCATTCCGAATTGCTTAGCTATCTTCAATCCTTGTAGCATTGCCATTAACTCAGCTTTTAGAGAGTTGCCCATGCCAATAGGTCATTAGGTCCAGAGAATAATGCTAATATAAACCTCTTCAAATCAAATTTCCCTATACATCTCAATATTCTAAGTTTGCACACCAAAAAAAGTCCATTCCAACACCTACTTTCTTAGTTCTTACTTCTTACAAATGCCACCAATCCAAGGAGACAAGGATGAATTATTAAATCTGGCCAAAGAGCCATTACAGGTCTTTCTTATATGTCAAATTGCACAGTTTAGATATCTCCATTCCCCAATAACGACTCCTAAAGCTGCAATTAACCTTCTTGAGTCATTTGTCAAATTTAAAGCACACCTAGCTTCTGTAGGAGACTTCTTCTGTGCAAAGAGCAAAAGTATATTTTGTATGGCTCCCTCCTTTGGGGCTTTTCTTCAGACAATTGACCCCTTTTTGAATGCAATTAACCTTCTCTCTCCCACACTTTTTAGCAGCAATAGCCCATGTTCTATTCAGGTTCACCAATTTTTGACACATAAAATTGAATTTTACTAATAATCAATAAAGAAGTGAGTGTGTGTGTGTGTCTGTATGTGTGTGATATGTATACAAAAGCTAACAAAGCAGCCAAGGTGTAGGCCACTGATTAACCATGGTGCTAAATATCAGGTATAAAAATTATACTGAAAAATTCACTATAACTCAGAAAAATATCAAACCACTTTTGATCATTCCAGAAATACACCAAGCATCATCTATTTCAATTTTTTACATCCCCGCTTTGTTACCAAGTTGAGTAATCAGAGTATTCCAGTTGCTCTTCTAATCAAAAGAAATCAGAAAATAGCAACCATGAGAAGAGAAGATGGAGAGAGAGAGAGAGATCATGGGGACAAGATTGGGGAGAAAAGAATTGTTGAACATGTACCCACTTCTATTAGCTTATATAAGTTACAAATAAATAAAAAGACCAGAATACCCCCATTATGTAAACATTAAAAAGATAAAGTTAACCCTACCATTCCCTACAATTTACACATACAGTAAAACGTTTGATGAATTTTTTGTAATAGTACAGACCAGAATTTTTCATTTCATAATTTTTGTAGTAATAATCTCCAACAAAGACAAGAATTTTTGTGACGAAGGCAGATAACTAATCTACCACATTTAGTTATTCAATAGCCATAAGACTAATTAACCAGACTAGAGAAAGAAAAAGCACATTGAAAAGCATGAAACAAATATACCTGGTGGCCGAGGCAGACACCCAAAATCGGAATATCCTTGCATTCAAGCAGTAGCTTTAAACAAATTCCTATAAAATCAAATGGACATGCCAAGTTATCATGGCAAACTTTAACAAATCAAATCAAAAGATTGAAAATGATTGGAATTTGAACAATTTGAGTAGAGAGGTTCAAATGATTCCTTTCAGTTGACAATTGAAGAATAATTTTTCAACTTCAGGTGTATAAACATATTTTGTGAACAATATCAACATAAACTGTAACATACTGCATTTTTTACTAATGTGTGTATTTATCATATCAAGGGTTAACAATATTGTTTGGTATAGTGTTTCAAAAGGAATGCCTAGGTTCTGGTGAAGCACATTTTAATGCATTTACCAAACTTGAGCCTAGGTGAAACCACTTTCAAAAGGCATGCACCTACGCTGTGGCACAATGCAACTGTGAGCATCTTTTATAAGTTTGCTTTTCTTAGTTACTTTTTATATATTTTCTTATATGTTTTACACTTTTGCAATGGTCTATTATTACATTCTAAAAAACCTTTTATTGTTCTTTGTGCCCTAATAATGGTCTACTTTTAAAAGAAACAAAAGCAAAGACATTTTGCATTCTTTTAAGTCCTAGCTACTGAGGATAGAATCCCAAATAACAAAAGTTCCTCTAAAGAAGAAACGATATTTGATCCCTAACTGTAAAATGTAACACACTATTATTAAAAACACAAATTGACCCACTATTGGCCTTCTACCTCTATAAAGGCCCCAACCTCACAGAATTAGGACTGCAAGATGTCCAATATCATAGTAGTTACCTAAAGTGATGCAACTAGGAGAAAATACATGGAAAGTTTCATAGGCTTGAAGTGATTGATCTTCAAGCACTTTTGTATGATCTACATCTGTAATAGGTATATATAATTTTTTCAGTCTTTCTCTTTTCACTAAAACAGGGATCCACTGAAACAGGGGCTATTCCCCACTTCCTCCTCTCTTTCTTCTTTTCCTACCTATAGTGTGGGCTCCACCCCTACTCCTCTATGTTATGTTTGGCCTATCTCCCCTCATGTTTGTTCTTTATGCCTCAGTGTAGGAGAATCAGCAGATCACATTTTCCTTCACTGCAAATTCACCCAAAAGATTTGGTTCCATTTTCTGAAAATGGCTGGTTACAGTTGGGTTATACCAAAGCATGTCAAGGACTTTCTACATCAGTGGCAAGAAACAGGTTTAAGTAAGAGGGCTAAAATTTACTGGCAATCAGTGTTACACGCAGTGCTGTGGGGTGTATGGGATAAAAGAAACAAAAGGCTTTTTGACAACAAATCAAGGCCCCTGGAGGAGTTAATTTCAGACATCTCTTATCTGTGCAACCTCTGGACGGTGAATTTTGATCTCTTCAGAGGAGTCTCAGTCAATGACCTAAATAGAGATGCTCACCTTTTCTTATTTCTCCCTCACCTCCATCAACCACCCTTGAGAATTCCTGAACCCACCAGTGAAGGTGTGATGATCTTAAACTTTGATGGAAGTGCCTTAGGTAATCCTGGATTAGCTGGTATTGGAGGAACATTAAGGGATGAAAGGGGCAACATCGTTTGGACCTTCAGCGGTCCTATTGGCGTGGCAGATTCCACAAAGGCTGAAGTAAGGGCTGCCCTCACAGGAATCAGAATAATAAAAAGTTTGGGAATTCAAAATATAATCATTGCAGGTGATTCAGCAAATACCATAAAATGGTTAAGAGACAAAGAGGGGGGACCATGGAGATTAAGTCACTATTTAGAAGAGGCCAGGGACTCTTTGGAATGCCTAAATGTAAAGTTTGTTTGGATTCCTAGGGAATACAACCATACAGCAGATGGCTTATCTAAATGTGGTGTGTTCTTAGAGCATCTATATAGCGACAAACTTCCTCCTTTGTAAATTGTAGTTTGTAGGGGTTCTCCCCCTTGCTTTGTACACCTCCTCATGTATCTCGTTTTTTATCAATGAATCCCGATTAACTTTTCTCAAAAAATGTTGTCTAGAAGAAAGAGGACTAAAGTTTAAGGTTACATTTAGTATAAGGAAGTTTATATCAACCTCAATATGTTTGGTTCATTCATCTTGAACAAGGTTATAAACAATGTTAATAACTGCTTTGTTGCCACAATAGAGCCTCATAGGACCATTGCTTGTCATTCCAAGCTCTAACAAGAGTTTCAAACATGATAATTCTGTAGTACCATGGGTCATAACTCTAAATTCAGCTTCAACACTCAACCAAGCTACAACATTTTATTTCTTACTCCTCCAAGTCACTAGATTCCCACTAACCAATTGTGGAAAAATAAAGAGGAAGAGAAGAAGAAATGAAGAGGGAGAGAAGAAGAAATACTTCTGTATTGATAAAACTTGTTGAGAATACAACTTAAATAAGAAAAGATAGGAGAGACAAACTCCTAGGATCTCTCTCAATTACTCCTAGAATCTCTCTCAATTAGRGATYGATTAAATSTTTYYCTTAATCCTAGGATATGACTTTCCTAATTTTATTCAAATCTAATCTTTCCTAAATTTATTCAAATCTGTAATCAATCAAATCAAATCTTTCTAWATWTGCAGCAAATCRTATCTTTCTTAATTTGCCGCAAATCATATCTTGCCGACACCAATGTACAATAACTAGAAGTAGACCTCTAGTCATCTTAAGAATCTACACAACTCACATCCAAATATGCTTCCACCTTGAAGTATCCATTATTAGAAAACAGAAGACCTCTTCCTAGTGAAGACTTAAAATATCTTAATACCTATTTGGCAGCTTCAAGGTGAGGAATTCTTAGAGCATGCATGTATCAACTAATACCTCTAGTAGCATAAGCAATGTTGGGTGTAGTCGATGATAGATACAAGAGTACCTTACTAGTTTTTGGAGCTTCCCCTTTTCTTCTAAACTTCTCCATCAGTAGACTTATACCCCAAGCTTACCAATTTCCTTCAACACATCTAATGTAGACTTATGTTGAGTTACGAAGATACCTCTCAAATCTTGCCTTCTATACCAGGAAAGTATTTAGGCCCCATTCATTTGCCTATATTTAGTGGGGGTAAGTTGGTCAACTAGTAAGTTGACCACAATACCCGCATTCATTTTCCGCTATATTGGGCCCCATGGTAATTCAAGATACCTAATAGTATCAGTTACCTAAGTAATTGATACCCTCTTGCGAGGTGTGTAACAATTTACCAACCCGCTTGTTGAAGCCGATAAACGCTTTCTCCCTCTCACCGATATCTTTACTCGAGCAACTGATACCATACAAGAACATTAAAAACTTTGCTTACCTGGGTAAGTTTTACATGGGAAATACTTGCTCTGGTAAACGTACTAGAAAATCCCCCCAACTCTTAATATCAAAGGGACTATTGCCAGTTACCAAAATATCATCAACACAATGTATGCAGTAATCAAATCACCTTCATACTTTACAAATGAGGTGTGATCTGCCTACTTGACTACTTATAGCCAAACTTCTTTACAACCTTACTAAATCTAGAAAATCCTGTCCTTGGAGATTGTTTCAACCCACATATTACCTTCTTGAGAAAACACACTTTTTCAGCTTTCCCTATGCAATAAAACAGAGGTGGCAACATGTACACTTCTTCCTGCAAATCCCCATTGAGGAAAACATTCTAGACATCTAATTGATTTGATATATATCACAAGAACAGAATAGGGTGATGCATTGCATATTTGCATACTGGAATTCAGTAGCTGAATCAATACCCGATCATGCTAGAATCTTTTTATGATTAATAGCATACACATTATGATGGTTTAAAGGTAATGCTGGTTATTTTTAGGGTGTTTTTTGATTAAATCAATAGGCTTAGATTCTATGCATGGTGAATTATGTTGAATATTTGATTGGATTAAAGATGAAGTTCAATGGTGAGCGGGATGCATAGTTTGTCAAGGCGACGCCTAGGCGACAAGGCGCCCTTCGAGGCTCGCCTTGCCTAATCGCTAAGCAGTTTTGTACTTTCTATTATAAAATACTTTTTCTTTCTTTATTTTTTGACATTATAATTGTAAAATAGACATTATTAAACTAAAATACTCATTTTTGTGTGTTTATATACTAATTTCTTTTTATTATTTTCTTATTTGTTAGGGTTTAATCAACACAAACACTGCTAAATGCTGTATTGAACCCTTAAAGACTTCTTCTACCATTACTACTACTACTACTAATACTTTTTTTCATTTCTTCTTTTCCTATACCAAAAATAAGGGTTCAGCCCCTATATTTTTTTAGTTTTCTTTTCCTTCTTTTTCTTCTCATAAATATGTTGCTTTTCTATACTTCAAATGAACTCTATACTTTTCTGATGAAACTTATGAATAATTATTAAGCAAATATGGTTATGGTACCTAGGGAATTACCCTAGGATCTATGTTTTATACATAAAAAAATCCATCACTTATGTGGCTAGGCGACAAGGTTCCCCCCTGTCGCCTAGCCTCGCCTGCGCACCTTGAAAGCTATGGCGGGATGCTTTTGTTGAGTCTTAGTATGCATGCCTATTTCTTTATTTGTGGTTGATTGGCTTTATATGAATATTCTTGTGCTCCTTTCATCGATGATTTCATGGCTTAGATCCTACAATTTTTTATTTCTCAAAAATTGCATAATTTTGAAAATCGTGTTTTTCATGTAGGATGCATGTAGCCATGTAGATCTAGGCTAGCATAGGTAAATTGTTTTGGGAATCTCCAAGATGACACCCACTCCCCTCTTAGATAATGGCTTTTCCCATTTAATCAAGCATAACCCATGATTGGGAGTTTCCCCAAGCAAAGGTGGGTGCCTAATCCCTTCCACTTTCATACCCCTACCCTGACTTATTTTGCTTAAACCATAGGATGGAGTCACCACTTTGCCTTTTATGTCAAAAAGCCCTGTACTTTCTATTGCACAGCCATGTAATAAGTTAAATATTGTAGACCTCAAGTATAATGAAACACAAAACCATCAGTTGGAACATTATTTGCATATATCTTGTAGGTTATTTTTTTACTTATTTTGCTATTTGTAATTGCTAATACACATCAATTATAAAACCTCCACCATCCATTGGGTTGTGGCCCATACCCCTTTATGTGCAACTCAAATTTTGGATTAAACATAAATCATGCTTACAACAAATGGTTACCAAACCATAGATCACCATGGAAATATAACTAAAAATGCATAGTAAAGCTTATTTAAGTAACCTATATCTGCTGGACATGTTGGAGATCCAGGCCCTGGAGATATGACAATATTATCGAAAGCCCTTTCTTCATATAGCTTTTGGAAAATATACTCCCATGTCCACTCATCATTATGCACCACAACCGGAGGCACTGAAACAATAACAAAACAAAAAGAGTAGCAATTTCAGTATAGTTGGCAACCTCATAGACCAATAGGCAAATTCACCATGGAACATCATGATTGTTAGAGCTCAACATAGAACCACATGACTGAACTAATGTGCCTCTGGCTTTATCCCACAAAAAGGAACTTTTGAATATAGTGATTTTCCCATAGAAGCATGCATGAAGCCACAAAAACACAGGAATCAATGCAAAGCATTGTCAAATAAATGAAAATTCAAAGTTAAACAAAAAAACAAGAAGACACTTTAACAGATAATAACAGTTTCATTCCTTTCCAAAAATGGTTCATGGCTGCAGGACAAGTTTGCCAATCAAAACAATAGAATAAGTTCTAGTTCTTTTTTAGAGAAGTGAAATATTTGCAACATAACAAAGCAGGATTTCAACCTTGTGGGATTTATGATCTATGTTACAAGACTCTGACCTAGTTCATGCAACAGAAATATATTTCCGCATTTATGAAGAAAGGAAACAAAATTTAAAATAATAAAGACATTAAAACTATATAAAGATGTGTTTGTGTCCATGTATGCATATTTGTTTCTGAATGTGTATGTGTGAGTGAGAGAGGGAGGGGAGAGAGAGAAAGAGAGAGAGAGAGAGAGATTACCCCCATTTATGACAGACAGCTCCTGGTAAATATTATATGTGTAACTATCATAGTTGTCAATTAGCAACGTCCTCACATATTTAAATTTCAGATTTTCTTTGTCAAGATGCTTCTCCTTCACGTACGATTCTTGTAAGTGTCCTGGCACTAAAGCCCGAGAAATCCCCACCTTCACAGTATCACAATTGAATTCTTGAAGAGAGTCTTTCCTATTCACACATCCAAGCCGAAAGGATGACCTGGATACTGAAAGTTTCTCATTCATATTATGTAAACCTTTGAAACAAAAGATCTCAGATGATGATGATCCCAGGCTGAAATTCATTTTTTCTAGACAAGAAAATCAATGATTAGTCCCTCTTGCTGAACTGCCTCTCTGTTTTCTGCAAACAACACCATAAACCAGTGAGACATGACAAAGAACTTGAACCGGGACAGTTGCATGGACTTCATGAATGAATTACAGTTACTGTTTTGTGGGTATGAAATCTTTTCCCGATGAACTTATCAAATGACGATAAATATCTTCAGATACACTTGACTAGTTAATATTAAGCATGGTTCTCTATTAACGTAAGACAAAAGAAAAGACAAACAAACTTATAAAGCAACCAAACAATTTTCAAGCAATCAAAACTATATATGTAACTCAACATGGATGAATCCAGTGTAACCAAATCTCCAACTTGGTATACAGAACAATTGGTTTTTCATATCTGGTGGTGAATTTTCTCATAAGCATTCTATCAAATAGACAGTAAAAAATCAGAAAGACATAATTTTTACAAATCAACAGGCAAAAATGGAGAACAAAAAGAGTCCCAATTACCACTACAACTACCTTCCTTCCACAGAGGGAAGCACAACCTTAAACCTCTAACTAAACGACCATGATTGCAAAAGACTACATTAACAAACAAGATGAAATATTTTCTAGCGAACCATTCCATTTTCTTCATTGGGTACTTAAAATCGAGAACAGATTATGATTTTCTGAAAAAAAAAATAGTAATCTTAAAAGATACCCAGATGAGAAAACTAACAGTTTAGATTAATTCATGCCTGGAAGAAGCAATAAAACGCAAAACCCCACCTTTGTATTTCAACAGTTAGATCTAGGAAGGGGTGCTGGGCCTGGTTTTCCCGAGCTTGCTTGGTTTTAAAAGCAACGGAAGAGCCGAAGAGGGTTTAGATTCATACGTCCTCGAATTTATAGCCTTTCCTTTTCTATTTCTGTTTTTATATTCCTGGTTTAAATTAGATTCAGATTCCCGTTGTACTTCAATAGTAGGCTTTAGGTTCGTGATCGAGTCAGCCTGAGATGGACAACTTTGCTGTCCTCCACAAATCAGAACCCTTGAAGGTTGAATGTTCTATGGACAAGATGTAGCCTCCAACGAAAATGTCTACGTAAGGTATCAGTCTTCCAGCCTTCCAATAAAAGATTCCAATCGAAGGGTTTTGAGGCAAAGAGAATAACCGCCCAAGTCGATCTCATTTTGTTACTTTTCCACAGCGTACTGACAGGGCTGTACAGCCGCCAGGCACCAACCACGGCCAATGTTGAGAGAATCTCTCCACTGGAATATTTTAGGTCAATTACAGATTATCATCCGGTTTGTTCGGTTAAACCGAATTTTGCCAAAACCAAACAAACCGAAGCGAAATTTTTTTCGGTTATTTTGGTTGATTCGGTTAAAACCGAATTTACTTGCTACAGAGAGTTTATACAAGATGATGTGGCAACTGGCAAGCTCCAAATTCAGTGACTAACAAAAATGCACTAAAAAGCTGAAGAATCTGGTGGCTGAAAATTTCTACAGTCCAAATCTTTCGATGGCCAACAAAAATACAACGAAGAAGCGAAGAATTAAAGGGGAGAAAAAGAAAAAAAAAATACTTGTATAGTTGTATTCAAAGATTCAGGTGGCTAAGAAGAAAACACAGGGAAAGGGAGAGAACTGAGAAGGACCAAAGAACTGAAGATTGAAGAAGAGTGGCCGGACTTTATCACTTGGCGATGTCGGAGAAGTTAATTTACTGGAGGCTGGAGCAGTGAAAGTGGAACTCTCAATTCCCTGCTACGTTGCTCGCTCACTGCTGCAAGCATGCAACTGAGATTTGAGGTCGCCGACGGCACGATATATACTAGACTGGAGGTCTGAGTGCAATGGAATCTCTGGATAGTTAGGGACTTTGGAGTTTTATAGAGTTTAGAGGAAGAACGTAGATGGTCGAAGACTTATATGCCTAATGGGGTTTGGCCGTTTTGGGTTTTGGCCCAAGGCTAATGGCCTTTGGGTTTGGGCTTTTCATTATATATCCACATATTTATCAATTTGCCCCTGAAAGTTCGATTTTTTTCGGTTAACTGAACCGTAGATGTCACAACCGGAACCAAAAGTCGAAGTTTAACTAACCGATTTTTAAAACTGAAACCGAACCGATTTCTCAAAATAACCGAACCGAAAACAATGAAACCAAAATTTTGGTTTGATTATTTGGTCTCAACCGAACTATATTCAGCACTAATGAAAATATAAAGAGGGTAGAGTAGAACAGTCTTTTCCTCCTGAAATTAGAATAACCCCCAAAAAAACCTCTTGAATTCGCCATTCTCTTTGTTTACTGCACCCACCAACCATTCTCAGCAAGATTGTAGTTTAGAGCATGATTTTCAAAATCAGACCGGACCAGACGGTCGGACTGAAAAACTAGGGAACCAATTAGGTGATCAGTTCTATTTTACCCCAGAATCATTATTTTACTAAAAACCATTTTTTGGTCAACAAATCATTGAGCTAGATGGTCAAATCATCCAACGATTTTAGCCATTTTTTATTTTTTTTAATTTTTTTTTAATTTGTTTTGTCAAAATGAGCTGTCTATTCGATTTAAACAATCAGACCATTCGATCCAAAAACTAAACCCTTATAATATTGGTTTGAACTATTTCCCCAACTGAGATCCCCAAAACTTTGGGGGTCATAGGGTTTTATTCTACATTATATTTCTTCAATGGTTGATGATTTTACGCTGTACCTTCAGCTCTTGCACTTTTTTAATTTTTTGAATGACCCCACTAAAAAGTTTCCTAGCTACGCCATGTTGATGGTTGTCTTTATTTTTCCATAACTCATGTTATTCCATTGTCCATATTGTTATAGGAATTAAGGTTGTTTTGAATAGGCCTCCACCATGTCAACCCAATCCGTGACTTCACACCCTATTGCAACAACCATGACCATGACGGTGAATCTAAACCATCCTCCTCTGGTGAGCCATCTCATTCTAATTAAACTGAATCATATGAACTTGTTCTTCTTGATGATTGTGAGCGTCGGAAAAATCGGTTCATTTTTTTACTTGGTCTGAAAATAGAGTCGTCACTCATTGAGTAGATGAAAATAAGGTGATAGGACATCCGGGATTTGCATCGAAAAACATTTGTGATTTATTAATGACTCCGAAGCACCGACTAATCAGTCTAAGTAAGACTCAAATGAGAGACACCCCTCTCCCGAGTCTAATAGATGGAGCCCACATGGTGACTTAAGAGAACATAAACACAAATACATAATTAATGAAAAAAGAACAAACTCCCATCAACTCGTAAGGATATTCCCTTCCATACTCACAGATCAATCTCGGCCTGAGGCCTGAGGCCTGAGGCCTGAGCAACCCTCACCCTCTCAATAACTTAAAAAACGACGACAGTGTAATATAGGCTAAACAACAGTTAACAAAGCAGACAAAATGACAAAATGATGTTTGCCATCTAGATTCACATATTAATTAAAACTTTAGGGAATAATAATTATTATTGCATTGGATTGGCGACAATGGTTTAGCCAGAACTGGTTCATCCCGCTATCCCGCGACAAAACACAGGAGAGGCAAAACGGAAAAATAATAGAAAGAAAAAGAAAAAGAAAGATAAAAAAGAGGAGAAACGATAACAGAGTACCTGACTGGGATTTGGGATTTCGGCCTGGACACAGTCGGCAAAACAGAAGGACTTTGATTGGGATTCCGGTCTGAAATCTAACGCCGCAACTAGGAGTGTGCGTCTAGGTTGCTGATTTCGCTGAAAAAAAAATAGAAGAGGACGATTTCCGTATGATAACCGTTAATGATGTTTCGCCTGAGATGAGGAGAGGAATCCGATGAGGCTATTGTTGATCCGGTCCGATCGAAAGGAAAATGAGGGCAGGGGTGCGTCGAATGATTGGCGAGTTTGAAGATGATAATGGATAGGAGAATGGTGATGAGAAACTAAGGATAAGGTAATAGTTCCGGCGACGGTAAACGGAAAACGGGAGGACTGCCGCTACTAATTCTCTGTTCTCGTGAGAAGATGATGAACAGTGCAGAGTTGGAAGGGAAAGAAGAAGAAGAATGATAGAAAGTGTGGGAGAAAAAAAAAAGAGAGATGAGAGAACTAGGAAGAGGAGATTTTCTCAGTTGCGGCTGCAAAGGAGAAGAGATGCCGCAGCGAGCTGAGAATTGCCGCCGCTTCTGTTCTTTTCGAACGGGGAAGAAGGGGAACAAACGATTTCGGGGGTTCTGAAGAAGAAGAGGAAGAAGAAGAATGAGAGAGGGGAAGCAGGCGGGAGAAGAAACCGCCGCTGCCTGAAGTTGCAGCGGCGGTGACTGATGAAACAGAGGGAAGAAGAAGAAGAAGAAGAAGAAGAAGAAGAAGAAAGAAAGAAAGAAATAAGGAGAGGAAGAAGAGAAGAGAGAGAGAGAGAGAGAGAGTAAGTGAGAGGGGGTGCCGCCGCTGGTTGTCGTTCGAAGGGGATCGACGATGAACAGTGAGTCTTTCGAAATTCTCAGATTCGGATGAATAAGAGTTTATGTTGAATTTATAATAAGCACCAGAGGCATTTTCGTAATTTTGGGTAATTTGGAGGGTGGGGGCATTTTGGTACTTTTGACAAACTGGGTCAAACCGGATCCAATGGGTTAAATCGGGGTTCTGGTCCGATGGTTGGTGGTTTTGGATCAAAAAAGGAAGGTTGAGATGGATCTAACCGCTGAGAAGGGTTTTGTGTGAGTGGCTAGCGAGATTGGCCGAGATTGGCCAAAATGGATATTTTTAGATGGAAGGGTAAATGAGGGAAATTTTGGCTAAAATTTCATAGGGTAGGTTTTCTGGTAATATGAGGTGACTGGTGGGGTCATCTTGGCCCAATTGGGCCCGGATTGGGCAGATTTGGAAAGGATTCAATTCGGTGAATTAGTCTCAAAACATAATCTTAATGTGATAAAGGGGCAAACAAAGGCAGTTTTGGATCAAATTTCATAGGACAGGATTTTTGGACAGTATGAGGTGATTGTTAGGGTTAAATTGAGTCAAATGGGCCTGGATCGGGACTTCGAATCTACTCAATTTGGGACCTTGAAATGGAATCTTGGTGTGATTGAAGGGTAAACTAAGGTATTTTGGGCTGAGATTTCACATGTGGGTATTTGGGACTGTCTAGGATTTGATGACATGGTTTGATCTATCTTCGGAGGGCCCAGGTCGTAGGAATTTGGGTCAACGATATTCTAGAATATAAACTTTGTTTGATGGACCAGCAAATGGGGGAATCTAGGGCTGGAACTTTATGGGCAGGTGTTTCCATGTGTATGGGGTTTAATGGTATGGTTTGATCGGTTCTGATGTGTCAAGATCAAGGGAATCTGGGTTCTGAGTGTTTAGGCTAACAAGAGAGGTTAAAATGGAATCTTTATTTGATGAAAGGGTGAACAAAGGAATTTTAAGCTAAAATTTAATGGATAGGTATTTTGGAGTTTCTAGGTCTAGTGGTTGTGTCTGATCTAATGGTTGAATTGTAAGTGGAGGTTGATCGGGGCCATCAGATAGGTATCAAGCATGTTTAACGGTGGATATGAGGACTCTTGGGTGAAATTCAGGATTTTTTGGTGTTTCGGGGAGATCAAAAGTGTTTGAAGTGAATTGGAGGTTCAGGCAACGGACCGAGCAAAAATCAGGTGCTGACAGTGATCCAAGTTTATTTAAGGATATGTGGATAATAACATGAACGTAGAGATGGAACTGCTGTTTTGAATCCTAACTTTGTTCTTTGGAAGCAACTAGGGGTGTCAATTGGACCAACTTGGTCCAATCCGATCCACTCCAATATGAGTCCATTACAAATGGATCAGGTCCAATCCAATCCGATGAATACTTTGAACCATTTTTTACCAGTCTAATCAATGTTTGGATCGTTCAATCTGTTCAACTAAGTTTTAATTTAGATTGGTTTCAACCCAAACCTGGTCCTTGACACCTGTATTTATATCTTCTATCAGTGGACCGGATATTTGTTCAATCTGACCCAATCCTATATAAATACATTACCAATGGAGCAAGTCCAATCCAATCCACTAAATACTTCGGACCATTAAGTCTAGACTGGTCCAATTCAGTAAGTCTCATTGGTCTGTTCAATTAATCCGTTCAAATTGATTTTGATTTGAACGAGGTCCAACCCAAAACCGATCCAATGACACCCTTAAAAGCAACAGGATCAATTGCTTCTCACTTGGATTCCGTCATCCCTAGCTCATGAAGAAGTGTCAGCCCAGGTTAATGGGTATACCACACCGAAGGGAGTATGAAATGCTTTATCCAAAATTTTTGCTTTCAAACTGAGAGCACCTGTTGTGTAGGCGTGTAACTCCGATTTGAACAAATACAAATATATACATTATAAATACATACAAAATATAAGGTTTTGCATTCTACATATTTGTATTTGTATCCCTTGCAAACTGGGCCTTAAGAGAAGAAAGAACATTCATTCTTTTGAGTCATTCCATCCCCAAGCCAATCTTGCTAATCCAAAATTGTCTTAGGGTGGGCCCCAAGGACGACAATTATAAACTCAAACCTAAGCCAAATGACTCAAAAGGGAAGAAATCAAATCCCTATCAAGGGGGTTCTATGTTAGATCTATTAGAAGATGAATCATGCTGCTTATAAAATGTCAAACATGCTTTCACAAGAATTTTCTTCTCGAAGTTCGATTTGAAAAGAATACAAATATAAATATATTTAAGTATAAATATATATAAAATAATATAAAATACAAGATTTTGCTCCAACTACTGACGACAGTTGGTACTCTGACTTGGACACTAGTCATCATATGATAGTAGGCCTTGCCAATCTACATTTACATTCAGAATATTTTGAGCCATATAAAATATTTATTGGGAATGGACAAGTTTTGTTTGTAGTTTATATAACGCATTGATACTTCTAAACTGCATTCTCCTTCTCAATCCTTAAGGCTGTGTTTGGTTGCAATGCAAATAAATATGCATTGATGTAAAACTATGGCAGTGTAAATTCTGACCTATTTTTATTTCAAAATTTAGTGTATTTTGTTTGATTGAAATACAAATGAAATAAATTAAGGCATATAATCCAAAACAAAATTAAAAGAGAATTTATTTATTTTTTCATTTATACTCCCATGCATTTGTATCAATGCAAATAAAATTATACTGCAACCAAACACGACCCAAGTTTTATTTGATGAATTCTTTGCGAAGGCACAGCAGACATGCAAAGTACTATTTCAAGGTCATTGTAATAAGAATGGTCTATGAGTTGTAGGGAATACAAGTGGAGTTATGAACAAAAACTCTTTGTACCATTACATGGAATCTATACTTCTACTGACAAGTGGCACAAAAGGCTAGGTCATCTAGCTCCTCAATTTGTTCGATATGTTGTCAACTCCAACAATCCTCCTTTTTTTATCTAAAAAATGATGTTTTGTCATTCATTCCGACTTGGATATCTCATAAGTTACCTTTTTTTCTAGCAATACTCAATATAAATCTCCACTTGACCTTTTCTTTAGACTTTAGTGATGTTGGGGCCCTTTTCTTGTCAACATTGGTTCATGGGTATTCAAATACTACATTATAATTGTTTATGCATTTGGCAGTTGATGGTGTGCGATTTGGTGCTCCTTGCTAGTGGATAGTTTGAACGTCGAACTAAGTAGGTCACTTAGTTAGATGTGTTCGGTTGCTTTACTTGGGGTGGGTACTTTGATACTTAAGTTAGCGAACTGGTATTTGATTGCAAAAAAGTAAGAAAGCTAGAGAATTGTGAGAGCTAAATCGTGCATACCTCTTCTGTGAAAGGGGATGCCTTTATATAGGCGTAGGTTGCTATGGGCTTCACACACCACGCTTGAGATCTCCAGGAGAACATGGCTCACTGGTCTGACGTCCTTAGAGGTAGTTTCATACATGGACTAGGCTTCCATGTGAAGTGATAAGGCCTTAACCGGTCGCCTCTGGAGTGGACGGTGAGGGAACTGACTTTCAAAGGACTTGAGTGCAAGCAGAGGAGGTCAGTGAACATGTCACCCATGTCGCCACATGGACCTCAGTTAGGTTGGCAAGTCCTCGGGGGAGATCGTTTCTCATGCCGAGGTCCTTTGGACTAGTAGTGATGAGGTACAACAAGTCGGACTTGGACGAGGTGCCACTAGTTGCTCTTCCAAGGTGGATGAGTTGTATGCGAGGTGCTCAGACTGGTTCTAAGGTTTGCCTCCTTGACTTAGCAGGATTCATGATTGTCTGTGTGACACTGAGGTGTCATGCGGTTGAGGACAAATGCCACATGTTGCCGGGTCACTAGAGGGCCAAATCACCACTCATCAATTTCCCCCACTCCTGAGTCAAGACTCGAGATCGGTTTGGCGAATGGAATATCTCGTTGTGGTTCCTTGGCTTAGAAATGATGCTCAATCAGTTCGTAGGCATCAGCCTGATCTTGTCCCCTGAGTCGGAAGAGTTTATGGGCTAAGTACAGCACTATGCAAGACTTCGTCGTCTTGACAATAGGGGCGCAAGAGTGAACTCATCAGCTCGAGGAGAGGTGGAGCAAACACTTCGAGGACATCCACCGTACCGGGGATGTAGCCATCAAGGAGTTCCGTCACTTGTCCAAACACCTCAAGAGTAGAGTTCATTGTGCTCACCCTCATGAAAGGCTTCAAACTGTGTCATCGCTTCCTCAAGTTGCTTCTCTTACACAGATTTAAATGCGGTCATCTCTCAAGCCGGTCCTCAAAAGGGTAGCCAACGAGGTTGATGCAGAGCCTAAAAACGAGGTGGAGGATAGCGGAGAGGGCGATAAGAATGATGTTGATGTGGGTGCTAACGAGGACAATGGTGAAGTGTAATGTTGTCGAGTTGTTTAGATGGGGATCAATCTGCCTAGATCGGCCACCTATTGTCGACATGTTTCGAGGCTGGCTTAGGGGTGCCTTAGAGCTAAAAGTGGTTTGGCTTTTCATTTACTCTTTAGCCAAGGTGATGAGGTGCACCAATGCCTACATGCTAAAGCAACTAGACTTGTGATTTCGACTAAGTCAAAACTTTGTCGAGCTGCATATCTCCTTGGCTAAGTCGAAATGCTGTCGAACTACCAAAGTCTTCTGAGATCGACCTAGGGGGCCTTAGAGCTAAAAGCAATTTGGCTTCCCTTATTCATTTTGCCGAAGCTCTTACTACATAGACTGGCTTGACCAGGTCGTCCTGGCAGGAACTCCAAAGTCATTTTGTACTGAGTGTAACTTAAAGCTTTTGCGGATGCAGCTTGGAACTCCAAAGTCTTCATAGAT